AAAAAAATTTTTTTATGTTTATTTATTTTTGAGAGACAGAGAGACAAAGCACAAGCAGGGGAGGGGCAGAGAGAGGAGACACACAATCTGAAGCAGGCTCCAGGCTCTGAGCTATCAGCACAGAGCCCAACACTGGGCTTGAACCCGAGAACCATGAAATCGTGACCTGAGCCAAAGTCAAATGCTTAATGGACTGAGTCACCCAGGCACGCAACCCTAATAAAGCTTTTAAAAAAATCCGTGAAAATGCCAAGCTGATCCACAAGTAATTTACCGGCCTATCAAAAGAAAACAAATTCCTTTTAAAGGAAGAATCCACTTAGCCATAACATTCATAATGTCTAGCATCCAAAAAAATATGACACAAGCAGGAAAAAGTGATCCAAAATCAGGAAAAAATTAGTCAATACAAAAACCTATAGAAATAACAGAGAATTTGGAATTAGCAGACAAGGCTTTAAAACATCTATTGGAAACAGCTCAAGAATTTAAGGAAAACCATGACTACGTTGAGGGGAAAAGGGGGGGGAACTAAAAAAGCACCAACTGATACTTTCTACTTATTTTTTACAATTTTTTTAAATGTTTTTTTTAAATTTAGTTTTGAGAGAGAGACAGAGCGCGAGCAGGGGAGGGGCAGAGATAGGAAGACACAGAATCTGAAGCAGGCTCTAGGCTCTGAGCTGTCAGCACAAAGCCCGAGGCAGGGCTCGAACCCACGTACCAAGAGATCATGACAGAGCTGAAGTCAGATGTCCAACCAGGCTACCCAGGCATCCCCCAACTGATAGTTTTTTAAAAATATGTTTATTTATTTTGAGAGAGAGCACAGGAGTCTGCATGTGTGTGCATGTGCACAAGAGAGGTGGGGGCAAAGAGGGAGAGAGAATCACAAGCAGGCTCCGTGCTGACAGCACAGAGCCCGATGTGGGGCTTGATCTCATGAAACTGTGAGATCATGATCTGAGGTGAAACCAAGAGTCCAAAGTTCAACCGACTGAGTCACCCAGGTGCCCACCAACTGTTATTTTGATGAATACAAATATTTGAAATAAAAAAATTCACTAGAGAATTTCATAGCAATTTAAAAACTACAAAGGAAAGATCAGTGAATTTGAAGACCAAGCAACAAAAACTATCCAAATGGAAGCATAAGGAGAGAAAAAAAGTGAAATATTAGAACATTACTGAACTATAGTATCAAACAGCATAACATGCATGGGGTCCCAGAAAGGGAAGGCAGAAAATATCTGAACTAATAACAGTTGAAAATTCCCCCAAATTTGATGAAACCTATAATTCCACTAAGTGAAGCAGAACCCTTCAATTAGCATTTAACATGAATCTGAAAATTCTCACCAGTGCAATAAGATATAAATATGAAAGTACAATATTAGAAAAGAAGAATCAATAAATTCTGTGCAAGAAAAATTCAAAGAAAACCAAACCAAGGCAAGTCACAATCAAATTGCTAATAGAAAAAATTTAAAGCAGCAAAAAACAGAAGCAAAACCTACTACAAACAAGGGAACTATGATAAGCAATGATTTCCCTTCAGAAACAAGGGAGCCAGGGTGCTTGCATGGCTCAGTCTGACTCTTAGTTTCAGCTCAGGTCATAATCTCAACAGTTCATGGGGTTGAGCCCCATGTCAAGCTCTGTGCTGACAGCACCTGCTTGGGATTTTCTCTCCTTTTCTTTTTGACTCCCCCCCACTCAAAATAAATAAAAAGTTGAAAGAAAAGAAAAGAAAAGAAAAGAAAAGAAAAGAAAAGAAAAGAAAAGAAAAGAAAGAAAAGAAAAGAGAAAAGAGAAAAGAAAGCCAGAAAACAAAACAATGGGGGGAAAATGTTGAAAGAAAAAAAAACCTGTTATTTTCATATTCTATATCCTATGCAAATATCCTTCAAAAAAGGGGAGGGGGGATGAAGAACTTTTTGGACAGACCAAAGCTCAAAGAATTCATCAACAGCAGAACTGCATCAAAAGGAATATTAAAGGATGTTCTTCAGACTGAATACCAGATAGCAATCAGTATCTATCTATCTATCTATCTATCTATCTATCTATCTATCTATCTATCTATCTATACAAAGAAATGTTGAAAACAGGAAATGCCCAGTCTTTAAACTTCCATGGGGCGGATATCACTGACCATACCAGATTTTGGATAGGAGCTTGATGGCAGCTTTAGTTAGACTAAGTTTTTCTTCAGTTCAAATGCTTTGAAAACTGAGTTCAGATTTCTATTCAAGAGAACCCAGAAACTGCTAGCTTTTGAAACTAGGGGTCCATAAACTCCAGCCTGGAGGCTGCATGCATGTTCATATAAATAGTGTTTTTTTTTTTTTTTAATTTTTTTTTTCAACGTTTATTTATTTTTGGGACAGAGAGAGACAGAGCATGAACGGGGGAGGGGCAGAGAGAGAGAGGGAGACACAGAATCGGAAACAGGCTCCAGGCTCTGAGCCATCAGCCCAGAGCCTGATGCGGGGCTCGAACTCACGGACCGCGAGATGGTGACCTGGCTGAAGTCGGACGCTTAACCGACTGCGCCACCCAGGCGCCCCAAAATAGTGTTTTATTAAAGCACAGCCACACCACTTACTAACATATAATTTATGGCTGCTAACATATTACAATGGCAAAGTTGAGTAATTGTGATAAACAGACATATGGCCCACAAGTCTGAAATATTTACTATCTGCCTTTTTTAACGAAAGGTTTTGCCAATCTCTGTGTTAGACCTTGAAAGTGCATGACTGCAAGACTTCAAAACTGAGACTACACAAAATGACAGCACCTAGGGACCAAAGAGCCTTGAGACTGTGACCCTTCAAGAGTCTGAGATTTTAAAATTGTTAGGCCATAAAACTGTAAAGTCAAGAGATCTCTTTTCACTTCTCAGCCTGCCCCCAATCAGCAAGATTTCCACCTGAGAGAACTGGGTGGCAAAAATTATCTTTGTACATAGGGTTCCTTCAGATTCAAATCTGAAACAGGTTTCTCAAAAGTTTGGCTACTTTTTCTTCATTCCAGCACAACTTGTCCTCAGGCAGGCTCACTCCCCTGCCAGCCTTACTCCCAACCTCAGCATCTGGCCTGAGATTTGAAAACACCCTATATACCCTTGATCACCTAGGAAGGGCTTTGTCTCTCTGGAGTTTCACTTTCTTTTCTTTTTTTTTTTTTAAAGTTTATTTTCATTTATTTATTAATATTTATTTTATTTACTTATAGAGAGCAAGCAGGTGAGGGGCAGAGAGGGGACAGAATCCTAAGCAGGCTCTGTGCCACCAGCACAGAGCCCGATGTGGGGCT